AGCGCGGAGTTTAAAGAGTAAAATTAATTCGGCTACTTTCTAAGCCCGAGGCAAAGGGAGAAACATGGAGAAACACGCATTTTCTAGACTCCTATGTATTGTCACAGCTATGATCTGCTAACCATTGCTACTTGATATGCCTCTTTTCTTCACCTTGGCAACCAGTTCGTCTCTCGTGGTGCGGACGGGCGCGCCGGTCACTTGGATGCCTTCGGCCATTTCCAGCGCCTTCTCCATCACCTGCGGCGGGTACCTGCAGGGGCGAGAAGGGGACAGGAGGGGAGGAGGGGGTCAGGCGGCCCCCGGGGGAGGCAGGGGGAGGCCGGTCCCGCCGCCCGGGCCCGCACTCACCCGCTGAGGTCAGAGCTGGTGGCATCAGTTTGTGTTTAGAGCTTAGAGCAGCCTACCAGTATCTGAAGGGAGCCTGCAGGAGAGCTGGAGAGGGACTCTTTGTCAGGAAGGGTACTGACAGGACAAGGGGTAATAGTTTTAAATTGGGAGAGGGGAGATTTAGATTAGACACCAGAAAGAAATTCGTTGCTGTGAGGGTGGTGAGACCCTGCCCAGGTTGCCCATGGCCGCTCCCCTCCTCCGCCCCTTCCCACAACCGGAAGCGACACCCAGCCTTCTTCCGGCGGCGCGCGATGACGTCACCAGCGGCGCAGACGGTCTTTAAGGTCCCTTCCAACCCAAACCATTCTATTAATGGAAATTGTGTAGTGGTTTAACTTGTAGTACCCCTATGGTGCAAAACTAAGTGATTAAGGAAACTAAGGCAGAAAAAAAATAGTCTAATGCACGTTTGCTTTGTATCCACTGTTGGACTGGAAGTGCTTTTCCTTCACTTTCGTGCCCACGCAATGTTATCTCGTGCATTGGCAAGAATAATTAGGTGACAGCGAGCGAGCAGTAGTGAGTGGGATGGGAGCTGACAAACTCACTATTGTTTTGGTTTTGCATGTAGAGGAAGGAAAGGGTGGGGAGTTTGTATACTCTTGCTGTGGGTGTCTTGGAGCAGTCAGTTTGTTTAGAAACAGTCGGAAGTTCCAGAAACAGCCCTGTGGTCACCACTGGTGTGGTGTTACCTGCCTGTTTCAAGACAGTAGTTCCATCAGCCCCGCATGTGGTTATCTGGGAATGTAGCCTGAAATAGACGAAGGGCATGATCTGTTGCATGGGGATTTCCGCCTAGAAATGAGCTGGGCCTGTCTCCTAAATCTCCTGGTCTGCGATACCACGGTTCTTGACTTCACGGTCAATGCAGACCCTGGAAGGGAACGGTGAATGGAATCCCTGGCACACATGGGTCCGTCCTTGCTGCCAGCCTGTTTGTTCACACACTTCAATGAACTAACACAGCCAGCTGGGACTTGGCCCAGGCTTGAGATCTGTCCCTTGGGGACAGCAGGGATTCAGCCAGGCCTGCGTGCTGTTTGTTCACACACTTCAATGAACTGGTTCGCTTTCTAACGCAGCCAGCTGGGGCTTGGCCCAGGCTTGAGATCTGCCCCTCGGGGACAGCAGGGATTCAGCCAGGCCTGCGTGGCTGTAGCAGGACTGCCTGTACTCTTGCAAAGGTAGCAGAGTAGACAGCGCAACCTTGAATGCCCTGGCCCTCTCTGCAACCATCTGAGCTGCCAAATGAAGCAACCAAGGACTAGTCCATCTTAGGCTAGTCATATACCAGTTAAGAGTAGGAGTTGGGGAGGGTTAGAATCCAGCAGGTAATTAGGGCAATCCTGTACACTCAGAGGGATCCCCAGGAGTCACATTTAGGGCAGTCCCGTACACTCAGAGGGATCCCCAGGAGTCACATTGTGAAGCTGCTGAGTGAACGACAGCTCCTGATGCCAAATGTCAGTGGTGGGCCTCTACATCTCAGACTTTTGTGGCTGCTCTTGGTCACCCCACGTGTATATGATTGCATGGTCTCACCTGCAAGTCCTGGACTTGCATCATTCTAGGGAGTGTTGGAGACTCAGCACAGCTACAAAGCTTAATACATTATCTGGTCTTAGAGTGGCTCAAGGACTGGTTAGAATAACTTTTGCTTGCCCAATTTTGGAGGACAAATGAAGTGAAAGCCATTTCACTTCTTTGCCCACTGACTGTACATGTGAACACAAACATAGGTGACAGCTGGAGACAAGTCAGAGGACAGTCCTGCATGCTTCTGGAATGGCTCACAACAGTTTTTGGCTCTAATGAGCAACTTCTATGGTCTGGTACCTTTCTGGCACCTTGTGCTGTTAATTTTTGGTTAATTTTCTCTAGTGCTCCTTCTGCGTCAACGTAGCGTTGTTGGTGGTGCAAAGATGACTTAAACAAAAAATGAGCCTTCTGTTTTTCCTACCTGTTTTTATTTTCTTTTTTTTTTTTTTTTTTGGTTTCCCCAGACATATTCTTTCTACTTTGTTATTGTGTGTTTGAATCATACTGGGAAGAGGCGAGATCCCATCCCCGGAGCGTGGGATGTCACGCACAGACAAACACAGGGGTGTACCCGCAGTGCTCTCCAAGCACTGGAGACATACTGTGTCTCGGGTTGATTAAACAAGTGTGTGTAGTAGAAGAGAGAGGAAAGCACCGCTGTTAATTTTTAAAAAGGAAACAAGTAGCGTTTTCATTCTCACCAGGAAAGGCAATTTTGATGTTAAACACCTCATTGATGGTGCTAATACTGTGCATTTAATTTTCAACATTGGAAGAGAAAAGATGGTTTCGTTCCCACTAGGGAAGGAACTTCGAAATGCCACACTGAGAGCAGTGTTGTTAGAGTCATTTGGGGCTTGATAATAGTGTCTTTTGGCAAGATATAACTAAAATCTCAAGGTGAATCATACCAATGTCTATAATCACAGTACCGCACCTGCACTTCCTGTACAATAAAGAAAGTTTATTTCTGCCTTTGTAAACAAGTGAATTATTATTTCTTCAAGTCGAGTCCCGCTGAAACACAGGGCAGCAGCCCCATTGAGTTCAATTATGTTCTGTGCAGTTAAGGTTAATATATAGTGACACTCTTTATTCAGCTTAATATGAGAAGCATGCCCTTAACGTCACAGCAATGCAAAGGTGAAGCTGGGAGTTATTGCCCCAGGAAGGCAATAACAGTGGGATCTTACTGGTTTGGGACAATAAATCCTCTGAGCACCATCTGTGGGTTGGTCCCTGGCATAAGTAGTAAGTACTCACTTGAGAGCCTTGGCTTAAGTTCATTAGAAGTGCGTCTTGAAGAAGGATGGGGAAGAGACATTTTCTGTTTTCTAAGATAACGTGTGTGTTCTGCTGGAGCGGATCGTTGAAGGTCTCCCAGCCGGGCAAGGGACAGCACTTTCAGGGAGATGTGTCTACATGTGCCAAGGTAGCCAGTCGTTACTGTTCAGTATCCTTGGAATAAAGGAAAATACTTGCTAAAATAGCATTAATGACTTGTAGGCTTATCAATGGAAGGGAAGTTTGAGTGAGTCTGTGTTTTTATTTCACCACAGTTACCCAACTGTTACGCTACGGTAAACAGCTCTGGATTACAGAATGATCCGCTCTTCTGAGATTTCTCAACTGAAGAAAAGGGATTGTGTAATTGCAGTGGATAAAACTAAAGGTAAAAATTAAGAGCTTAATTGATAATCATTTTCCTTTACACATACCTGCTCTTATTACTAGCTTAAATACTATTTAGTAATAGGTTACACTTGAAATATATAATGATGCCTGCAATAGGGTTGTCAGTTGTTTTCCTTTAAATGAGTTTGTTAAGCTTTAACTACAGCTAGAGGTAGCATCCTGCTTGCTAAATTTTGCTTGTTTAGCATGTAGGTAGGTAGCATAGGTGTAGATAGCATACCACTTGCTAAACACCCATGAATTGGCATGAAATTTTCTGTACTGAGGATGGAAGTTTAGGATGACTTTGCTGCTACCAAACATGACCTAAGAACAAAGGCAAGGGGAAAAAAAAGGGCTTTGTCTAGAATAAAATATTGTGGAGAGCTTTGAAGTGCTTCCATGCCTCTATGCTCTAAAGCAGTCTTGGAATTTGTCATGAAAAACTGAATTGGACGGGAGGTGTCTGATCTTCTGACTACACTTAGCATAATTTATAAGCATATTTCTGACTGAGCATGTGCATCCACCATCCCTGCTACTGCTACAGTCAAGCCTACCCCAGTTGTGGGGCCTAAAAGAGTCCTCTCTTTGCCACCGTGGATTGGAGCGGGTCTCTGGACAGGGAGTGAGGCTATAGAGACCATCCCCCGTGCTCCCAAAAAGCTGCTGTTTTCTCCTCTTTCACAGGTGCTCAAAGCGTGTCTAATACCAACCATGAAGGCACAAGGACCTGACTGAGGGACAGAAGAAGTAAGTTTGGGGACAGGGTTTATGGTGAGACTGAAACTACCAGGGGGCAGAAAAGCTTAACACGAGAGTAATAGGGATAGGATGCTGGGATTAGGTGAGGAAGGAAATTAAATTCTCAAGGAGAACAAGTTCAAGGCAAGGAGACAAATACATATAGATGAGGAATCGGAGGGGGACTGTATGCCAGGAGCCTAGGACCAAGAGAAATGAGAGATGTGGAAGCCAGTGAGGAAACTGGAAGAATGAAAGCACATTGGCAGAGCAGACAAAATCAAACAGATTCAAGTCTTGACTCTGAGCAAAGGGACAAGCTGTGATGGGAATGGGAGCATTGACAGAGGAACCACTGGGATTTGAACAGAGACTTTGAGAAAGGAAAGTTAAAACTTGGAGAGCACAGAGACATTAGCATTTCAGTGTTTTTCTTCCGCTGCAGCAGGCATCTGCTAGGGTAAGACCAAAAAAATACTCTGCCATTCTAATTTAGTATATGATATTTTCTTGTCTTTTCTGTGTGCTATAAAGGAACAAAAGAGCCAGAAATCCATTTTGCAAGCCACCTGTAAAGAGTTTTTACGTAGGAAGCCTTAGGCCTTTGGCAGACAGCTCTACCCTGGAGTTGGGAAAAGCAAGAAAACAGCCTTAGGAATCTTAATGCAAATATTGGCATGCATTCATTGTAATTCAAGAGGATTCAGGAAAAACACTAAAAGGGCAAGGAGGTCTTATCTGGAAAAAGAGTCTATTATGAGGCTATAACATACTGAGCTTTTTATTTGTGTGTGTGCATAGATATGTATACACACATGCATGTCTACATACACACACACATGTAATACAATACAGATATCTGTGAAGATCTTTTAAAAATACTTGTATTATTGACAGTGTAAGGACCTATAAATCTAGATGCCCTCGCTCCTTCAGTTAAAGTACTCATGCCTTGGAGGAAAGGAAAAATTACATCTAATATTTTATTGGCTTGGGTTGTGGATAGGTGCATTGCACAAATGGATGCTATTAAATCTTTAGACCATGCTGTACCAGTATGAATTTTGTATGTGCTACATATTTTGCAGACACAAATAACTATTTTAGAAATGATATAAGGAGCTTTCCTGAGACTCCAGGCAACGATGCCAGATCTAATTTGAATTATTGCTATTGAAAACCATGGTTCTGTTTTTCATTATTGTTACACCAATATCCCTGACAACCTGCAATTTACCTGGTATGAACAGCACCTCCTGAAAATATAGAGCTGTTTTGTGTGCTGTGGTATTTTTGTATTTCCTCCTTGTGCATAGGCCTGATATTTCACATTAATTCCACTGGATGGCACTGAAGGAGACAAGATTGCATGGAAATAGCTCCAGAAGTTGAGTTTAACTCCAAAAAACGAGAGTGGCTTACTTTTTCATTCCATTACTGAAATAGACAAATGTGGGCTCATTTTCCATCCTGATGTAACAATTTGTCATCAAAACCAGCTCTTAAACACTCCTGGCTGCAGTTCTAGGTTTTGACAGCAGCAGAATTACAGTGGAGGCAGAGTCAAGGCTTCTGAATTTGAATGCCCCTTCTCCCCTCAAAAAGGTAAAGATGCAGCTAAAGATGCTAAAAGATGCATCTTTGGCTGCATTCTGGGTTCTTATGTGAAGGTTTCAAAGCATCTGAAGAATTTTTGGTCCCTGTCCCCCATGGCAATGCTGTCGGTACTGGCCATTTCTGCCATTATGAGCAAGTGCAAGTATGTCAGCTTTTTAAGCTCATGTGAAAAAAACCGACATAGGAATTCATTCAGA